TTGTGGGGGGGGGGGGGGGGGGTGGTGCATCCAGGATACAAAACAATTGTGCTTTACCTTATATTCACATGTATTCAACACATAATATTTAGGTTTCTGAAGAGGCCTTTTTTTCCTGACAAACTGCACTGAACCAAGAATTTTATTCCACATTTAATGTAATTCTTTAGTCAGGTGATCTTTCTGATCTTGCATTAGAAAAGAAGGCTGGAAGAAATGAATTTTAATTCAGTTTGTCCATACTAATGCTGGAACTGATGCTGAAGGGATCATGGTGTAGAGGCCCACCCCAGGCAGAGTAAATTGACACAGGGTCCCAGTGCCTTCTTTCCTTCTCAGCTCTGGGCATTACAAATACTGGATCACAGTACCCAGCACTGACTTTACCACATGCTGGACTCAACAGAAGGCAAAAGGACAATATTCAGAAAGAAGACAGTAAGGAAAACAGAAGAGATGAATTTGAAATAGTAGAAAAGAACCTAAATTTCATTCTTATGGTTGGCAAAATGCATTACCTAAGATCTCTACCAAACTCTCAAGTGTTCTACAAATCATGACTTCACAGAGATTACAAAATATGTTCAGAAAGCAGAAGAAAGCCCAACCTTTGCTGCCAGAACACATCAGTATACCCTCCTTTGGCCTAGGAGATATGAATGGGATGTACTAACAGCTAACATGGCTGCCACAATTTGCTAACATCTAGCTTAAAAGATCCTCCTATTTCCAGGTAAGAGTATGGCATAGAAATTAATAAATTAAAAAAAAAAAATATGGCACTTCACCTAGCTTTTCCAAACATTCATTACAGAGCCTTCTTCCTCTCAAAAAACTTTGTGTACAGCTATACTTTTCTCCTCTTCCCCCTTTCTTTCAATGTTTCGAATTTCACACTTACATTGCAATGTTTGCACTGGTACAAGTATTCAGAATTATGTAAAATAAAATTAAATATTCAAGGAAGATTTAAAGTCTGATCTCTTTTGGTTCTCTGAAAGCACTTTGTTAACTTTATTAAAATAGCATCAACTATTCTTTTAAGTTTTATGTTTAATCGTTTTTTAATTCTGTACTAGTACCTCCAATCAAGCATAGGCAAAAGCACATTAACTAAAGATAGGAGGTTTTATTTCAATAAGGATTATTCTTAATCTATCGAATCAAGCAGGAAGTGTTTCCCCCTCTGAAGCACAGAATTAGCAAAAATTAGAAAGAAACTGACTTGCTTTATCTTCTTTCTTTCAAAAGCCTCTGCTGGAACAAATAATTTCACAAATAATGCCTCCCTTTTGCACTGGAAAATAATTATCATACTCTACAAAACTGGTGGGAAAATCTGTGTTATCAACATTATTCTCATACTAGATCAAAAAAATCACACCACTGTACCAGCTATTAAGAAAAAAATGAACTCTATCCAAACCAAAACCAGGACAAGTATATGTTTTTTGTGGAACCACTATGCAAAAACTGTCAGGACAGTCACAACTCTTCCAGCAGCTGGAAAAATTATACTCTGCAACAGCTACCTCCATACCCAGAACCTGGAGACTCTTTTCATAGTTTAAATTTCAGGATATATGTATCAATGACCTACTAAATATTTAGCACTGCCTTTCACATTTTCATTCGTGGAAATTTTTGCATTCTTTCAAGGAACATTATGTGTTCTGTCCTTAGCAAATTCTTTTCAAATGTTGTATTGCTTTTTACTCATTAGCCTAGGTGAATGAACTTAATAATCTAATTTTTTTTTCCCCCCCTCCAAAAACGCCCTAACACTTTCTGTTCTCTGTGGACTCCAGTAACACTTCTATTTATATTTCTACAATGCTAGCGAAGCTTTATCCTCACATTGTGAAAACTCTGAGAACCCCCCTACTCATTTCATAGTTAAGTATTTAAAGAATATATTTCAGGTGCAAATGAAGAAGTCTCCAGATCTACAAGTAGAATCTGTCCGATAAATCCTGTGCTTGGTCTCTCCCCTTCTCCATCTTTGCTATCCAAGCAGTATATCTCACTAAACCTCAGAAAATAATTAGTTATCAAAATTGTAAAATCTGTAGGGCATGACAAATTGCTGAGAAGAGGAATTGCAAGGAGGAGATGTTACATATGGTTCATTCAACCTTATTCTTTACCTCAGGACTATCAAAAACTACCACTACAGTGATATACTTTAATTGTACAGATTTTCCATACAGAACAAGGCCTTTTTTCTCAACTTTAATTTACTAAAACAAATAAATAAACCTACGTATAAAAAAAATCAAATAAAATTACTCAAAAATAAAACCCAATCACTCACCCTAGAAATTAAACTTAGTAGAGAAATTCAACATTATTTTTTACAAAAACACCTAGTAGAGTATATTTCTGTGCTTATTCTAATACAATCACTCTTAGAAGATGCCATGACACATACCTTTTTATCATTATCAAATACAAGACAAGGCATAAATATCACAGTTGTGCTCCCTACATATTTGTGGTTAGTATCAGCCCTCTAAACATACAGAACAACATAAAAAATCAATCAATCAATCAATAATCAATCAAAAATCCTTACCGCTTTGCACCCCATATCTGTTTTGCATGCTTTTCTCCCTGAAAACATTAGGATTCCTTGCTAGGACAGCCTGCAGCAAGACTGGTATATCTCCCTCTGGATCATCACTGCCAAGGTTATCTTTCAACTCTCTGGAATTGTGGAAGTAAGCAAATAAAGAGGCAAATGCATTTTCAAATTATAAGAAACCATGAGTCAAGTAAAAAAACCCAAACAACCACAACCAATCAAAACCAAACCAAATGACATCATTTTACTGTTAAAATACAGAAAAAAAACCCCACCAAATCTGCACTGCACCACTGTTCTCAAAATCTACTTTTTTCTTCTCATGCTAAAGGAATGGTAGAAAAGGTATTCCTACTAGTCTTCAAAATTATTTTCTGTTAAGAAGCACTTATATATACATGGCTGTCAGTTTCAGACTATTATAACGCTTCTTATGTCCATTTCTGTATTGTAGTCTTCTCCATAAAAGAAGAATGGTTTGTCATAACATCCAGAAAGTACTACTGTAGAAGTGAAAATAAGATAAGCATAAATGCATAACATTTACATTGCAGCCCAACACTTTGAAAATCTTTTATTTTAGAAGGGGAAATTGGCATATCTTTGACATCACAGGATTCCCTTTGAACCTTCAAAAATTTTCTGTAAATGAATCCATATTTTCATTTTTTCTTTGCATTGATGACTTTGAAGAGCTACTTTCATTTGATCAAAATAACAGATTGGAACACATAGGAAAAAGACAGGGCTGTACACATAAGAAAATTTAAAGAACACCGGTGAAAAATGAAAAAAACAAAATACTTGCTGGTTCAATTCTTAAATATTTTAAGTTCAATATCTAATCAGAACTGACATAGATCTTGCATGGGTGTCTCAGAAAAGTATCTTTTTGTGTAATACTGGGTATAACATTTGTCAGTGCACATAACTAACGCAAGTGGAACACAAATGACTTTTGCACAATCAGTACCACAAAGTTTGCACTCCTAACTAGCAAGAACAGAACAAACAGCATACCTATTAAAAAAAAATAGTTATGCATAAGGGCTGTCAGACAATTACTAGCATTCCAACAGAAACAATTGATTCTTATACTGCAGCAATCTGCTAAGCTAGCCTAATAAAAAACCTGCACCTTATAATTTTCAGATACTAACGCCCTTCTCAATTCAATTCAGTTTAATTTAAAGTAATAAGGATGGTGATCTGATATAGTTGAAGTTCAAAATACATACATGTGATCTGTTGACACCTGATTGAGACTGTGGATGAGCTGTGAAACCAAGTTTTCATCCCTGCAAGCCAAAAGGCAGTTCACCTCTTCAGCTATCCGTCCATTGAAAAGCAGGCTTTTTGTTGTGGTAGCAGGTAAAGGTGATGGAAGAGGCAGCTGGTTCAAAACTGTTATCAGAAAATAGAAAGGAGTTCAGAATTATTTCATGAAACACAAGCATAAAAAGATGGACACCTTCTTACTCCCTCATGTGATTAAAAAAGAAAATCTGACAACTACATTACATGCATTAATTACCTTGAATGTGCCTTGAAACTTGGAAAAATTAGCAAGATCAGCAAAACATTTATTAAAACAGTATAAATTCAGCTAGTTAATTGAGCCTACTCTACTGCTTCTACTCATCAAGTCCTCCATGTTTTTAGGGCAACATGACTTGTCAATTCCAGTACCTTCTTTCTACACAGAGAGAAATAAGGTGAAGCAGTGACATGCCTTTCTCTTTCATGCACTCCTGACTTTCTGAACATCAGAGAAATATGACAGAGAAAGAAGCAAACACACCTAACACAAGGGCTAATCCCACCAAAGGTAATCAGTGTTTTAAGAAACTATTGCACCGGAAGTCTGGCCAGTGACTTCTACTAGGTAAGTATTTTGACTTGAGAACCAAACCTGCAAATAATTAGTGCTGGAAAACTATCCATAGCCCAGAAACTTATGATTTGCATCCTGATGGACCATTATTATACACACATAATGGTACATGTATTCACATATAAATACATAAGCAGCATCTTCCAGTTTAATAATTCAGAATATCAGAAAGACATGAAGTGGTTTTTCCACCCCATTGAATATATTTGCTTTTTTTTACTATAGGCACTTAAATTCAATTGCTGGGTATATACTTTCAGTGTCTCTTGAAGTCTTCAAATTTCAACAGCATAGTAATAAAACAAGAGCTCAGAATAAGCACTTGGATCACTGAGTCCAGTTATCCTCAGACAGACAACTGAGCTATAAACTCTTGCTTACACTTTATATAAAAAAAATGCATCTTTGTCCCGATTTCTCTTATTGAAATGGCTGTTGTAGGACTTCATTATAGTAATGATAAATCTCCTCTAAGTTTCCACTAGAAATTTATTTTTGGTCACATTATAACCATTTGGTTTTGTGCCAGCATCAGCTTTTAATTTAAATAGTTCTTTTTCTTTCCTTGCATTTTGTCTTCCTGACATATTTAAAGACAGTACACACACCTCATCTACTCACAGCCAAGAAACAAGCCTCATAGGTTCAGCTGCTTATTTCCATTCTAGCAGCCACTCTTTGCACTTGTTAATTAGAGCAACTTTTTTGTACTTTTTCCAAAACTAAGGAACTAGGTTTCAAATATATTCAGAACATTCCACAACTCTCTATCTGAACATCAGTCTAATCATATGTGTCTCTCTCTCTCCAGTGAAGATAATGATATGTATGTTTTAGAGAAGTATTTCATCATTTATATGTTTTTCTTTATTTGTGGGGTTCCCAGATATGTTACCGAATGATATTCCAAACAACGAATTCCTATATTTTTTTGTTTTGGGTTTACATAAAGGTGCTTTTTTTAACCTACATGTTTCAATTAGCATATTTTGTTTGAATATATTTTTAAAATTCTAGCAAGGACAAGAAATGTTTTAATACCAAATCTGATTTTGAACAGATTTACTTTTAAGAACCTTAAAAATAAAACTATTTTTAGTATTTTGAAAATGGGGGTATATTAAGTGAACAGGTACAAGGGAACATAGCAAAGACAAAAAAAGAGTACTTACGGTCTGTAAGACTAGCAATCCCTGCAAGAGTAGTGATGGGAACATGAGGCATATCCCCATTCATCCTGAAGTTCTGGGATGGTAGCGACTACACAGGTATTTTAGTTCAGGTGCCAGCTATCATTACTTCCCATCTCCCAAGCACTAAAAAAACAAAAAAAAAAAAACAAAAAACAAACAAAACAAAAAAAAAAAAAAAAAAAAAAAAAAAAAAAAAAAAAAAAAAAAAAAAAAAAAAAAAAAAAAAAAAAACAAAAAAAAACCAAAACACAAAAAAAAACACAAAACCAAATTAAAACTCTCAGTTTACTTAAAATAATTTTAAATTCAATAACATAAATGAAACATAGACTATAATCTCAAATGCATAGTAAGCAAATTTTGTCAAAAGTGGGTGGAACAATGTAGAATTTAAATATCAAATAGCATTAAGCAATCAAAAGGCAAGCTTCTGGGTTTCAGAAGTAGAGTCCTTCACCAAAAAAGATGCAACATAGGCAATCAAAAGACAATTTGCTCAGGTTATACAATACCAATGCAAAAATTGGCAACAAAACTTTTTTTGGCTCATAATGCAGTGGACAGCACTTAATCCATAATCAGTTTAAGCAATTAGCTACTATATTCACTTCCCAGTTTTGGAGGAGATATTTTTCATATAAGAAGTTAGCAAAAAAAAAAAAGGAATAATTTACAGGTGCAAATGTCAAACAGTAAGCAAAGTGACAAATAGAAAATCTTAGTATATTTTTGTCATGGTTTAACCCCAAACAGCATTTAAGTGCCATTCAGCTGCTCATTCCCACCAGTCACCCACCCCAGGTGGGATGGGGAAGAGAATCAGAAAAAGGCAAAAACTCATGGGATAAGAACAGTTTAATAATTTAAATAAAGTAAAATATACTACTATTGCTGCTAATGAAAAGGGAGATAAAAAAGAGAGAGGAATAAAACCCAAGAGAATCAAGTGACATGCAATACAGTTGCTCACAACCCACTGACCAATGCCCAGCCCGTTCCCGAGCAGTGATCGGCCTCTCCTGGCCAACTCCCCCAGTTTATATATTGGGCACAATGTTCTATGGTATGGAATATCCCTTTGGCCAGTTCAGGTCAGCTGTCCCAGCCATGCTCCCTCCCAGCTTCTTGTGCAGCTCCTCCCTGGCAGAGGCTGAGACAGTGAAAAGCCCTTGACTCAGGGTAAGCACTGCTCAGCAACAACCAAAACATCAGTGTGTTATCAGCATTATTCTGTACTGAATCCAAAACACAGTGCTGTACCAGCTACTGAAAAGAAATAAACTCTGTTCCAGCTGAAACCAGGACAATTTAAAAAACAGTCGTATTTCAAAATTTATCTGAAAATATCTCTTTAATATTAAACGCACTCTGATCAAACTATTACCAGGTACTGTTTCACCCCCTCCACAGAAAGAAAAGGTTTAGTCACCACTGAACTAGTTTATTTCCTATAAAACAGCATAGTTTATATTCAACTACTGAAAAGGAATTTGTTCATCTAGTTTTTACTCACTATAAAGATCCCAATTGTAAGGAAGTCCACATTATTTAAAACAAACAAACAAAAGAACAAAAAAAAACCAACCACCACCAACCCCCTCAAAAAAAGATCATCACAATAGTTTGAACTGCATTTCCAAAACAACAAAAATTTACAAATACCATACATTACAATCCACTATTGTTATACGAATGAAATGAAAATAATTGAGCATGATATCTTCTGAAGACAAAATAAATTAAAGGAACTTGTTCTATGTACATTTACCTATAATAGACAGGCTCCCGTGTTAACTTATGAAATAGTAAGACTACTTCTGTCAGCATTTATGTTGTTTACTTAAGATTCTGAAACAGTGATTTGTTTATACTTACTTTACAAGTCAACAGTTTTGCAAATTACATATACAATACATATAAACCAAAATATCACTGGCATTTCCTTAATAATCTTTATCTCATTCTTTCTTATGCCACACCAATGACAATATATAATACCACTGCTAATACATGTGTACAGATTCCAAGCAAAACAAAGAAATAATATTCTAAATATTTTTCCTGCACAAAGTTTTCATGAACCAGTGAAGTTAACTTTTCAGTGTTTCCCTATCTACACACAACTAAATTATTTTGGGTGGGAGTGGGGGTGGTGTGGTGTGACAAGGGACAACACAACCAATACACAAAAAACTGCCACCCAACACTGAGTTAACTTCCTTTGCTGAACCTGCCACAGGCTCATTCCCACCACTAAATTACATTTGCTTGTTAAAAATATAATACATTACAGGTGCAGAAATGTAGTTAAGGAAACTGCTGCAGATAGATATATGCTGTGTGGGTTGCTGTGTTTGGGGTTTTTTTCATCCAGGAGAAAACAACCTTCAAACACACAGAGCAGTTTCAAATGCTACTTGATACTGAAGCTTCTTTACCTGAAATGAATACCAACATACAAAAAATTTCAGTTGTTTCTTAGTTCCATAAATAAGCAATTCTTAAAGAAAAAAAAAAGGGACCTAACTTTTATCACAATGAGTCTGTAACAGCAAACCCACAAGAGCTAACAACACTTTTAGAACTTAAGTTTTCATTTAAAGGTAAGAAGTTAAAGAAGACCTTTCACACATAAGTTGTACATACAAGAGACCATGTCCAATGAGCTCTCCCCTCTCCTAACTTAAACTGCATCAAAACTGATTAAGGTCACATAACTATTCAGTATTATTGGAAATCCCATATGTAACACAAAGACAAGGGGGGAGGGGGGGAATTTGTTTCCCTTCCTGTTCACCTTGGAAAGCTGTAAACATCAGAGACAGTCACTAATAATGCAAGTTCTTTCCTGGTATTACTGCTACAGTAATTATACAGATATTGAATGGAAAAAAAATCCCTCCAAAAGTAGACAAATTATATACCTTCTCCACAGATACATAAGTAACATGAACTGGCAAGATCCAGATCCAAGAGTGGAACAAGTGCAGACAGCTAGCTAGGATGGTCAGGGAAAGACTAAGTTTTCCAAGAGGAGAGTAGAAGGGGCTGCTTTGTTTAGCTAACAAAACAAAAGTCAGGAGGGGATGTGGTTGCTATGGCTAGGGCAAAGAAGGTTACAAAGGAAGAATGCTCAAAATATCGAGCAGTTAGGAAAGAAAACTGACAGCCCAAGACATGTTATTTCACACAAAATATCAAAATATCATGCAACAATTAAGGGCTTGACAAGTCAGACAAATCAAAACAAACAAGTTTTGTTGTGTTTTGGTTTTTCATTCCCAACTCTAACGAGTCATTTATCAATATTTAGAAACTTTTGTATTATCAACTTTGTGCAGTAGCTGCTACCAGTAGTAGTGCAGCATTTCTACCTCTAGACTGGAAAAAAAAAAAATCTGTCTTGGGGATAGTTTTAATCCCATATCTATTTGGTTGGTTGGTTTTGTTTTGTGTCCGGAATGCCGGAATGGTCACTGCTGCTTCCCCCACCCCCCCCCCCCGCCCCGGGGCCCTCGGGATATGGTCCCTGCTGCTTCCCCCCCCCCCCCCCCCGGCTCCGGGACTATCGTGATGGGTGAGAAGCAACCCGGAATCCTGCGAGGGTTGGGGACCAGGGGCTGCTGCTTCCTTCCAGTGGAGTGATAGTCTCGGCAGCAACACGGCACGGTGCCTCTGACTGGATATCCTGTTGCCCTGTGGTTTTTGCATGTTTCTTTTTTTTCCCTTTTCCTTCGCCACTGTGACTGGGGCTTGCCAGCTTGCTCCTCTGCTTGCTTGGGAGCCCAGAGGCAGTGCATGCTACGCCAAGAGCCCTCCCCGCCAGGCTGGCCCGACCCCGGGACCAGCCATCGCTGGTTAGCTATCCAAGGGAGCGATCCCCCACCCAACCCCGCTGTTTTCTGACACTGTTTCAGGGCTTTTTGCTATACTTTAACCTGACACGCCGTGCCTGCCCGGACACCCCACGGCTTCTGACATGGCTCTAGAGTCTTTGCTACACTTTGTTTGCCACCCCGGGTGTGCTCACCTCTGCTGTTCCAGTCTGCTGCAGTCCATTCAGCTTCCCAAATGGCACTTAGACCGGCTGCTTCTTGTGAGTTTGCAAAGGAAAGCCCCTTCTCTCTCCCACCAGCTGAGCTGCCATTAACCATATGGAAAGGCGTTTGAGCTCGCGCCACAACACGCCCAGCAGCTGCGGGGGAACATCGCACCTGCCCTGCCTGGCCGGGAGCCAACAGCGCCCCTGCCGGCTGTGACCATAACTACACCAAAGGGGAAAGTCCTTGACAGCCAAGAAAGCTGTTATTGGGACTTTTTTTTGTTTATTGTTGCTGCCGTTGTTGTTGTTTCTCTTGTTATACATATACATACTAGTAAAGAACTGTTATTCCTTCTCCCATATCTTTGCCTGAAAGCCCTGTAATTTCAAAGTTATAGTAATTTGGAGACAAGGGAGTCATATTTTCCATTCCAAGGGAGGTTTCTGCCTTCCTTGGCAGACACCTGTCCTTTAAACCAGGACACCTTAATATTAACTGAATTAAGGAAATCAAAAAACTGTTGCACTGAAAAAGCTTTTAAACAATGCATCATTGTTGCAGTTCAAAGAGAGAAGTAGAAACCCAATTTGCATATATGCAAAGATAGACTTGCATATTCAGTATATACATATACTCTTGCTGCTTTATAAGAAAAAACAGATATTGTAAAAGACATTCCAGGGAGGAGGAAACTACAGTGCACAAAGGAAGTGATACAAAGAACCCCTTTGAAAAAGAGAAACAGTGAAAGGGCAGCAGATACTGAGAATAATGTATTAAAAATGATCATCATAACATAATATACAATAAAAACAAAAGTGAAACCAAGACAGCAAGGACAGTAATATTGAAAAAGTTTATGTTACAGGTAATAACTACACATTTAAAGCACTACTTCTGTATGTTATCTTCTTCCCTTTTTGTTGTCAATTATAGATATTCTCATTTACTGCAAATTAACATTCCAAAGAAAATTCCTACTGAAATGTTAAATTTTAAATGTTGTTCATAGGTTGGGGTTTTCTAAAGTGTATTGTGGTTTAACCCAGCTAAGCACCATGAAGCCATACCCTCACCCCC